TGATACATTTGTTCGCACTAGACCTGTTGCAATGATAATCACCTGATTTTCTGTCTCTGTTGTTTTCTGTTTTGTCTCATCGATTTTTTTTATGCTCAGGTTACGCAGCAGCTATACATTTGCTGTTTCATGATGGCTTTAAGGCTGTTGTCGTATAATGTCAAGGGGGTTAACAAAAACGGTGGATGGTTTTAAAGGGGTTCAGATCCTCATGAGCAGATATTATATTCAATCAGGAAACCCATTTCAAACAGGATGGCTCTTTTCGTTTTGCCTCCAAGAGCTTTCCACAATCCTACTCAGCCTTTGATCCCTCCAGGAAAGCCAGTGTATCTATCTTGATCTGAAAAAACTGCTCCCTAAGGGTCTCCTTCTCTCGAGTTGATCCACATGGTCGTTATGTGTTGCTGGAATGTATGTATGTATATGGGCTCTCCATTTATACTTTTGAATTTGGATGCACCCAACTCTGGTCAATTGCTATTTCTCTCTCAGACTTTAGGCAAGTTATGCTCGATATCAGCTCCCTGTATGATAATTGGGGGGGATTTTAACTTAGTTATGTCACCCCATAAGGATAGAAAAGTGCTCTTTGCCCTCACCCCATCAAATCGCTATGCTCCTCCTCCGCAAACTGATTATGGAGCATCGTCTCTTCAACGCCTGGCGAGTCAAACATCCTCTCCATCAGCAATTTATGTTCTATTCTACTCCAGAGTGCATGTATTCTAAATTAGATCTTTTTTTATCACCACCCCCCCTGCTCCCCTTCCTGGCTTCTATGGAGATTAATCTGATGACTTGGCCAGACCATGCCTCACTATCACTTGACCTCATTCTCCCTGACTCTACCTCTAGGGTTTGTCACTGGTGCGTTAATGAGAGTTTTCTGCGCTTGGAGCAGCTTTGAGAGGATCTCTCTCAGGGTCTGGATGCTTATTTCCATTTCAACATTGGTTCAGTAACCTCATCCTTTGCCAGGCCCATAATGACGCTATTAGAGGCATCTGTATCTCCATGGGCATCCGTTTAAAGAAGGCCTCTGTTTGAGTGAGGCACTCCCCTCTACACCAATTATGCACAGCAGAACGTTGTTTGTTAGACAGGCCGTCTATACCTTGGTTATAGAAAGTTTCCCATATACGTGATCAAATCAGGGCTCTTGATCTATATAAAACTGCTCAATCTCTTGCGTGGGCTAGGCAAAAGTTTTACAAGTTCTCCAACAAACCGCATTGAATGCTAGTCAATAAACTTAAGTCTCAAGCATCCTCTTCCTTACTGGGCCATTTACTTCAGTCTGATGACAAACCCACATATGACCAGCATTTTATGGCTACCATATTTGGGGAATACTATGAGAAGCTTTATAATTGCCTGGCCCCTGATATTCATCCTCCCCTTTGGAAGACCACTTTTGACACCTTCTTTGACTCCTTATTTTTGCTGCATTTATCACCCTCCAACCTTTTGACCTTGAATGCGGAGATTTCCATCGAAGAACTACTGGATGTTGTTAAACATCTCCCCACTCACAAGTCCCCGGGACCGTACGGTCTTCCCTACTCGTACTACAAATCCTTCATTGGCATCCTAGCCCCTCATCTTATAAATTTGTTTCAGAATCTCCTGAATTGGGTCTCCCCCGCACAATGATTTTACACACTCTTAAATTTCTGTGATCCCGAAGCTGGATAAGGAACACTCTCTCCCAGATAATTATTGTTGCATAGCTTATTAAACTCTGACTAAAAAATTTTCACGAAAATACTCAGAGACCAGAAGGGCTTTGTCTCAGCTAGACAAGCAGTAGATAATACTAGGAGGACCATTGACTTGATCGATCTTGTCAACAAGTCCCCGTCCCCGAAACCTGCTCTCTTGTTGAGCTTGGATGCTCAAAAAGCATTTGACTGATTAAGTTGGCCTTATATGTTTCTTGTTTTAGAGAGATCTGGTTTTAGTAGTCCATTTGTGGCAGCTTTGAAAGCCCTCTACTCCACTCCCTCTTGCCGGGTCAAACTGGCTTCATTCTTACCACCTTCTTTTCAGATGTCTAATGGTACGTGCCAGGGTTGCCCTCTTTCTCCTCTACTGTTTATCCTCTGCCTGGAACCCCTGGCTATTGCTATCAGATTAAATCCTGATATTCAGGGGATATGCACCCACAATAATGATTTTAAGCTGCCTTTGTTCACTGATGATATTTTGCTAACACTAATGGAACCCCACACTGCTCTTCCTGTTCTGCATCATACTCTCCAACTCTTTGGGGCCTTGTCAGATTATAAGGTTAACACGTCTAAAACTGAAGCTTTACCGCTCCACATACCCCCTGCCGTTCTCTCTTCTCTTCAGTCAATTTATCCCTACTGCTGGTGCCCCCACTCCTTGAGGTATCTAGGTACCAACTAATTTTCCCCCCCTCTTTCATGCTATTTCTCAATCCTTAAAATCTTAGGACAACCTTGCCATCTCCTTTCTCGGAAGGATTAATGTCCTGAAAATGACTATACTGCCCAAGCTTTTGTATTTGTTTGAGACGCTCCCTGTTCCTGTCCCTATGTCCAAGCTCTGTTCCCTTCAGAAATCTTTCCTCCACTTTATCTAGTATAACAAATCTCACTAAATTACCCACTCAGTTCTTCTCTCACCACAAACTATAGGAGGTCTGGGGGCTCCAGATCTTGTATCGTATTATTTGGCTACTCATCTCCTGGTCTTCTCAACATCCCCCTGACAAGTCCAAGATTGAATGGCTGCAGCTATGTCTATTGCACCCTTGTTCTCTGCTCTGGTCTATGACCAACACTGAAATCGCATCCTATAGGCATCTACTGCTTGGGCTTTTTATGCTTTCTATATGGAGGCGGTGTAGGGGTAGATTTGCCCTGTCCTCTCCTTGTTCACCTCTGACCAATGACATACTTAATCCTAGTCTCCCTGATAGTTTGACCCCGGCCCATATAAGTCCCTCGGCTAAAGCCAACCTATTCCAACTGCAATACCTGATCCACCCAGTGACCCGAAAGCTTAGACCTTTTATCAAGTTACAAAAAACATGCCTCCTCATCAGTATTATGTTTACCTACAGATACAACACTTCTCCAAGATTCCCTCCCTGGCCCTAGAGAAGCCTACTTTTTTCAAACGCATCTGCATTCAGGGTCCATACCAACAGGACTTAAACTCCTCTATCTATAAGTTGCATCAAGACACTTGCCCCCTTTCTACTGAAACACATCTTTACATGCAAAAGTGGCCCCGAATCCTCCAACAAGATATCCTCTTAGATTAATGGAGTAAGATCTGGGAGGCTGCCTCTAGATCTTCTGTATGTGTGGTATATAAAGAAAATACCTATAAAATTTGATGTTCTGGTACAAGACTCAATCATATGACACAAAGAGCCATGGCTTGGCCCCCTGCTCTCTCCTCATTGGCTCACTAGTTGTGATTGACATCAATGGGATTCAACGGCTCCAACTGTTGTGTCTCAGCCAATGAGGAGAGAGACCAGGGACAGCCCAGACTCCCATGCACATTGCTGGACCCAGAGGGGGATCAGGTGAGTACTAGGGGGTTGCGGGGGGAGCAGTACACAGAAGGTTTTTTACTCATGCATAAAATACTTGAAGGTCAAAAACCTTCAGCTTTTACAAACACTTTAAATTGGAGAAAGAAAGAAAGAAAGAAAGAAAGAAAGAAAGAAAGAAAGAAAGAAAGAAAGCTAAAGAGCGGGAGAAATAAAGAAAGAAAGCTAAAGAGCGGGAGAAAGAAAGAAAGAAAGAAAGAAAGCTAAAGAGCTGGAGAAAGAAAGAAAGAAAGAAAGAAAGCAAGCTAAAGAGCGGGAGAAAGAAAGAAAGAAAGAAAAAAAAGAAAGAAAGAAAGAAAGAAAGCTAAAGAGCGGGAGAAAGAAAGAAAGCTAAAGAACGGGAGAAATAAAGAAAGAAAGCTAAAGAGCGGAGAGAAAGAAAGAAAGAAAGAAAGAAAGAAAGAAAGCTAAAGAGCGGGAGAAAGAAAGAAAGAAAGAAAGAAAGCTAAAGAGCGGGTGAAAGAAAGAAAGAAAGAAAGAAAGAAAGAAAGAAAAAGAAAGAAAAAGCTAAAGAGCGGGAGAAAGAAAGAAAGAAAGAAAGAAAGAAAGAAAGAAAGAAAGAAAGAAAAAGAAAGAAAGAAAGAAAGAAAGAAAGAAAGCTAAAGAGCGGGAGGGAGAAAGAAAGAAAGAAAGCTAAAGAGCAGGAGAAAGAAAGAAAGAAAGAAAGAAAAAAAAAGAAAGAAAAAGAAAGAAAGCTAAAGAGCGGGAGAAAGAAAGAAAGAAAGAAAGAAAGAAAGCTAAAGAGTGGGAGGGAGAAAGAAAGAAAGAAAGAAAGAAAGCTAAAGAGCGGGAGGGAGAAAGAAGAAAGAAAGAAAGAAAGAAAGAAAGAGAGCATGAGGGAACACCAATTCTCATCCAAAAAAGATTGTATTGCTATATTAGAACACTGAATCATTATAATAATTACATTTTAAAATGTGTAGCTGTCCCCTGAAGACAGAATAGAACCTCCAAAAGGCAGAGAGTGAGATAGCATTTAGTCCATGGCTAGAAAGGGGAATTTGAACAGAAATTGGGCACTAGTCACTTTAGATCGTTTTCAAAGCTTAATGTTGAACTTGAAAAGGAATGGGAGTGGAGGATAGGGGGCTTCAGATGGCACGCAGATCACTTACAGACTCCTTGGATTCAAGAACAAAGTCCAGCTTTATAGTGTCAGAACCTTTAAGCCAACCTGGCAACACCCTTTTCATCTATAACAGCTTCAACTCTTTTGGGAAGGCTGTCTACAAGGTTTAGGTGGGGTGTCTATGGGAAGCGCATTTGTGCAGTCAGGAACTGATCTTGGACAGTCTCCACTCTAATTCATCCCAAAGTTGTTCTATCGGGTTGAGGTCAGGACAGGCCAGTCAAGTTCCTCCACCCCAAACTCGTTCATCCATGTCTTTATGGACCTTGCTTTGTGCACTGGTGCGCAGTCATGTTGGAACAGGAAGGGGCCATCCTTTTACAATATGGTTCTGTATATTATCGATGTTTCATTATTGTATCACAACACTACTATATCTAAATGTCCCTCTGAGGAAGGAACTTCGTTCCGAAACATGTTGGGAAGAACATACCGTTGTCAATCAAGGCATTCTTTTATATCAGTGTATTTGTAATTCGTAACGGGTATATGTCTGTAATTCCAATTTTTTGTATCCTATTTGCAGCTGAATATATACCAGTTTTTACTGTCCAAGTGGCCACAAAACCTTTAATAAAAATTGACAATTGGCCTTTTAAATGCTTTGTTATATAGTTTTCTGATGTTAAAGTTCCAAGGGGTTTTCCTACATTCTAGATTTTTTTATGCAATATTCAGGATGCTGGCTATTGTTACTTGGTAGGGATTACCAAGTACATATACTCTCATAATTCCTCCCAAAGGTTTTCTGTCAGGTTGAGGTCAGGACAGACCAGTCAAGTTCCTCCACCCCAAACTTGCTCACCCATGTCTTTATGGCACTTGCTTTGTGCACTGGTGAGTAGTCATGTTGGAACAGGAAGGGGCCATCCCCAAACTCTTCCCACAAAGTAGGGAGCATGAAATTTTCCAAAATGTCTTGGTATGATGATGCCCTAAGAGTTTCCTTCACTGGAACTAAGGGGTCAAGCCCAACCCCTGAAAAACAACCCCACACCAAACTTTACACTTGGCACTATGCAGTCAGGCAAGTACCATTCTCCTAGCAACCACCAAACCCAGACATGTCCATTGAATTGCCAGAGAAGTGTGATTGGTCACTCCAGAGAACACATCTCCACTGCTCAAGAGTCCAGTGGTGGCTTGCTTTACACCATTGCATCCTACACTTTGTATTGTATTTGGTGATGTAAGGCTTGGATGCAGCTGGTTGGCCATGGCAACCCATTCCATGAAGCTCTCTGTGCACTGTTGTTGTGCTTGTTGTGCTAGTCTGAAGGCCACATGAATTTTTTAGGACTTCAGATATTGACTCTGCAGACAGTTGGTGATTTCTGCTCACTGTGCACTTCAGCATGCGCTGACCCCACTCTGTCATTTTACATGAGTTGCTGTTGTTCCCAGTTGCTTCCACTTTATTATAATCCCACTAACAGTTGAGCATGGAATATTTAGTAGCCAGGAAATGTCACGGATGGACTTATTACACAGGTGGCAACCTATCACGGGACCACGCTTGGAGTCACTGAGCTCCTGAGAGCGATCCATTCTTTCACAAATGTTTGTAGCAGTCTGCATGCCCGGGGGCTTGATTGTATACTGCAATAAAGAACAAAAAAACACACAAGCCTTGCGCGTTAGGTTGTAGCACAAATTTTCATTCAAAATTCTACTAATGTCTAACCCACACACAAAAATGTAAAATATTACAAGCTACACAGTCCTCAGATGTGGTGGCTGTATTCGGTTTATTTTTAGACCAAGTACTATTTCTGCAAGTACAGAATATACCTGTTTATCTTGTTGCAAAAGATGAGGTTGCAACGAGTAAATAGATATCCAACATGTCAAACCTTAAATTTGTGTGCACCTGTGAAATGGCGACAAACTTCAATAACCTATATTTTCTGTAGGCGATGCTTCAAAAGCCCCTATAGGGTATCATTTTAGTGTTACAGAAGAGGTTTGGTGCTAGAATTATTGCTCTCACTCTGGCGTGCGCAGCGATATGTAAAATGTGTATAGCAGTTGATGGTTTCATGCATAGGTCCCCCCGAGGGGAGGTGGGTTGGGGGCCTCAAGATTTTGTTGGTGGGGGATGTTATGTGCTTGGGTGTAACTTTATTTTTTTGCTTACTTTTTTTTTTCATCACATGGGGGACACAAAGTCCCCTATGTGATTATATTTAGGTGACAGGTTCTCTTTATTGAGACATGTAGGGCTAAAAGATCCTGGATGTCTAGTCAGGTCTCCACTAAATGTATTGTAATGCAGATTGCATTGCAATACATTCCTCCTTGGCTATTCTAGCTGGGGAAAGTGACAAGATGACCCAGAAGTGATGTCATACAGGTCTCTTTCAGGACCACAGCAAGAAGGGGAGGAGAGCGGATGTGTGTCCTCTCTCCTCTCTACCTACTGACACCTGCCATGTCAGTCTGGGCCCGCAGATGGGCAAGCAGCCCGGAATACATGGCGAGGCGTGCTCGCGGGGATGGGGGGGGGGCGCCGTTACCCGGGGTGTGTGGAAGCAATCAGGAATCAGCGTAGCAACCCGACTGCTATCTCCCCCTTCATGAGTCTGCCTGTCAGCATTATACACAATCCTGGTGGCTGCAGCCAATGGATTGTGTGTAAAACCACCCAGCTGTCAAGTCGCCTCACACTTAATTGAGAGCTACAAGACGCCTACCATGGTATCAGACAGGACTTGTAATTCATTTATCACAGATTGCTATGAAGAAATTATGTGGCTGTGTGGACGGAAAGGACAGAATTCCACCTGCTGTCACAAGGGGGGGGGGGGGGTGCATGTTACAGAATATACCCTAAATATGGGCATAACATGTAACATGCTCCAAAAAGTGAACTTATCCTGTAATCTAACAGCTGGAAACCCAAATCTTTAATAGTGAGGAGGCTGGCTTAGCCAAATGCCCCCTTATTGGCTCTTCCATTCCACATGACCATAGCTCAAAGGCCAAGAAGTTCACTATTAGCAGTTGGTCACCATGGCTGCAAAATTGAGTACTAGTTTGCCAGATCAGCAAACTGAAAAAGGCTGGGTTCACTTCATGATGCATGATTTGAACCCAACTTTCATCCCTAAAAAATTATTATTTTGACATATTACAAAAAGAAATTAGCATTGCCCCAGGTTCAGACGCAGAAACCCCTGAGCATGCATTTGTAGGTACCAATAAAATTCATCAGACATTGAGTGAAATCCAGGTTTTGAAAGAACATTGTCATAATAGTGATGGGGCATCCAAATTCCATCCAGGTCCTCAGAAAAGGGCCAGAATCCATAAAGTGTCACCTTTTCACAAACTTCAGCCGCCACGCTCACCATCATGAGGCCAGAAGACAGTCGATGAAACCTAAGTCCCATACTTTTCCAATGAGCACCCAATCTCCGGAGGTAGTCTGGGTTGAAGAAGACAACTCTGCTTTTCAAGTCAAAGTCTTTGATGGTGTGAAGTGCCCGAAAGGAGACCTCTGTGTTCATTAAAAATGAGAAAGCTGGTAGAAGGATCAGAGAAGAGCCATACTCCTTCACCTTGGTGATAAATGGTTCCTTCTCCTTTGTGAGACTGCTGAACCTAATGAAGGAGAAATATAAACAACTTCACTTGAAATATCAATCTTCAGCCTACTCCTTAATTAGCTCAAATAGTTTGTCTAGATAATTTTCAGGTAGAAAAAAAATATAAATTCATTGTTACAGGAAACAGTTAAAAAAGAGTTCCAGGTATGGAGAAGTTAAAAAAGTTAAAGAGTTCCAGATATGGATATTTTTACATAGTTACATTGGTCCAGATTAGACCAATGTAACTATGTATACACTGTACTATACCTTTGAGATCTCTCTAGAACATGTGTTAAACAAGGCCCGTGGGTAAAATGCAGCCCACCTGGCCATTTCATGTAGGCCTCGCACCTCTCCTGCAGCTGCGGAACCCCTCTCATCTCTGCCCCCCAATTTGTCTCAGCCGTTGGTAGCAGAGAGGAGGTCAGAACTCCTCCACCAGATGCTGCCCACCTTCATGCAGCCACAGAGGTGCTTGTCTCTGCCCCCCTCCCCCGTCTCAGCATTTTGCTGCAGAGAGGAAGACAGAACTTATCCTACAGATTCTGCACCTCTCTGTGCAGCCACAGCACTCCCTCGTCTTTGCCTCCCCTGGTTTCAACATTAAGCAGACTCCAACAGCTGACTCCAGCCCTCCTCTGGTTCTCCTCCAGACCTCAAGCTTTCTGCTTCACAGTTTTGCCCCCAGATTCCCAGCAGCAGCACAAGGTAAGTTGGGTGTATTTTGATGTAAAGGGTGGGTGGGGAACTCTTCTGATACAGGGGGGCTCTTAATATCTAAAATAAGGAGGGGTGGTGTACTCTTAACACAAGAAAATGTCCAACGTATTGTGTGAACCGATAGTGATCAGTAATAAAAAGTGACTTCCATGGCATGGACTCGGCGGCCTTCTTTGTGAGTGATCTGTTACTTGTCATTGTGTTTTATGCTCCATGTTGCTGCAATAATTTTTCAATAAAATACTAAATTATATTACGCTGTCTTCGGGCTCTGTATGTGAGCTCAATCCTTAGGAGGCACTGCACCTTTCATGGATCAGTGACTGGCGAAAGGATGTGGATGGATCAGGGGCGGACTGACCATTTGGAAACTCGTGCACTGCCCGAGGGCCCGGGGTCAGTAGGGGGCCTCATGAGATGCCCCTGGTACCTTTTTCATAGGCTTTTTTTGAGTTTGGGCAAGGACACAGGGGCCCCATGACCCCTATTGCCCGGGGGCCCTATGAGTTGTCAGTCTGCCCTTTCATGGATCAGTGACTGGCGAAAGGAAGTGGATGGATCAGGGGCGGACTGACCATTTGGAAACTCGGGCACTGCCCGAGGGTCCGGGGTCAGTAGGAGGCCCCATGAGATGCCCCCTGGTACCTTTTTCATAGGCTTTTTTGAGTTTGGGCAAGGACACAGGGGCCCCATGATCCCCTATTGCCCGGGGGCTCCATGAGTTGTCAGTCCGCCCCTGGGATGGATACATCCTTAGGAGTCATTTCCATTCAATGCTGGTTTGCTTCTTGCATCTGCTGAGTGCACATTGGTGGAGGATTATCACAGAAGTCACTTTTTATTACTGATCACTATCGGTTCACACAATACGTTGGACATTTTCATTGCTGGCCATCATTGACATGCAGATTATTTTTTGGGACACTAATATTGGATGAAAGTGAATAACATTCACACATTTGTTATTTGTTTTTTTATGTATTAGAGAAGAGAAATGATTGCTTTTACATTCTATATGGGTGTAAAAGCAATCGCTGTAAAAAAAAAAAAAAAATCTTCATCACCCCCCACAAGTAGTACAGTGTCACCATGGTGACACTGTACTGCTAGGGTGACAGTATGTAAAAAAAAAACAAAAACATAAATAATAATATAAAAAAATAAAATAAAAATGTAAAAAAAAGTTTAAAAATGATAATTTTTGGTTATAAACTAATTTGGCTTATTTTTTTACTAAAAATATAACGGAATACATTTTGGCCAAGATTTATGATGAAAGATTATTTATTTGCAAAATTGTATAAGAAAAACACTTTTTTTCAAAATGTTTGGACTTTATCATTTACATAGCAAAAATAATAAAAATCCCAGCGGTAATAAATACCACCAAAATAAAGCTTTATCTGTCTCAAAAAAAATGGTAAAAAATTCATATGGGTACAGTGTTGCATGACCGCGCAATTGTCATTCAAAGTGTGATAGCGCTGAAAGCTGAAAATTGCCCTGGACAGGAAGGGGGTAAAAGTGTCCGGACTGGAAGTGGTTAATATGTGTTTGGTTTTATAAGGATGAGGTGGCAACCCTACTCCCTAGGGTCTTGCGTCGATTCCCGCTCTGTTCCTTCTCCCCCCTCTTTTCTCCTGGCAGTGGCAAGGGACCAATCAACAGAGAGAGAGGAGCACCATAAGAAATGTAGTCTCAGAAAAAGGCGTCCTCATTCTAGGCTGAAGGGAGCAAACTACAGACCCATCAGGCTGTGCAACAGGAGGAGAAAGCCAAGAGGCCGGGAAAAGAGAGTCTCTAAGCAGTACTACAGGAAACAAGAGTGGTGAGAGGACTGTGCCTAAAAATGATTAATATATGTCGCGCTCCCAATCTGAGTTAAATATAAAAAATATATAAATCAGCTCAATATATCCCTAAAACATAATCTAAATAATAATCCCAAAAAACATCTTAATGACCAGAGAGGACTGTGCTTGTGACACCGAGAGAGAGAGAGAGAGAACCACACTGTCCAGCACCACCAGAGTGAGAGAGACGGACCACTGACGGGGTACAGATGTGCTGCAATATGGACCGGGGTTGCACCGCATAACTTAGAATGAGCCAACGTCCAGCCAATGGAATCTTTGCTACAGTTTTGCTGGGTCTGGTGAGAGGGTCAGTCATTATCCACCACCACTCGGAGGGACTGAGCCATTAGAAACTACCTAGTCAGTGGCTCTGTAGCTTTAATATTGCCTGCAGGCCTTTTTGATTGCCTTAGTGCATGCCAACAAGCTCCAGTGTTTTAGCCAGGGAAGAGTCAGGACTAAAGACTGCCCCTAACTGTAGCTGCCCCAAAGTCCTTACCCATTTGCTAGTTAAAGAGGTATCATACCCCTGCCCATTCATTAGAGTGCACTCAAATCCAGGGTAGAGTTATATTCATTCTTGCTGCATGTAGGGTTCATTGATACTGGTTAGTGGTATAGAAATTCATATACAGTATATGTTTTTTGCTGCCTAATTTGGCATAGCTTTGGCTCTAGTCTAGTAGATTGTGTCCAAACTTGCCTGCTGTGAGTTTAACTCTATTCAAAATGCCTTTTATCTCTACACATATCAATAGAATAAGTGTGTTTACCAGTAAACAGGTGTGTCTTTATTTATTGGCAACACCCCACAGTCAGGCAATAGGTATTTTACACTTGTTTTATTACTTGTGCTAACAGTGATTTTATTCAGCCAAGTGTGCTAGAAGGGCTGGGGTTGTTCTTGGCATCAAGCCGAAGAACAAAGGACCCAAATTACCAAGCAGCACCTTCGGGGGTGGCACTACATATCCTCCAAGTTGTGGCAGGCTTTAAGCATTCTCCATTTACGCTCTATGTTTTTGTTGCTTGTTTATTGTACAAAAGTTATGAGACTGAGTCACGGAACCGGCCCCAGACTGTGCTTGAGTATTTCCTTTAGACTATCACTTCCCCGTCTGAACACTGACCACAGACACCACAGCAGACCATACAAGACTAGTCGACACCAGTCATGAAGTAAACCAGGAAATAGACTACTTTATTTTAACACAGATACAAGATATATAGATTCAAGGGAACAACCCCCCTCCTTGCATAATGACACAGGGTGGGGAAATCTACCTTTAGTAATAAGAGACACACCAGCAGACAGTCCCATCAGGAGGGAGGGCTGCGGCGGACACCCCCCACCAAGCCAATACACATAAACACATACATCCCATAAAAGTTTGCTCCCAAGCAAGACACACAATAGAACAATGGGATGCAATCACATGGCATTAAACAATGAACAACCCCCCACCCCAATATTTAGACAGATCACCCTGTACCCCTTACAGGCACAGGGTGACTTACACATAATAAGGATATGGGGAGCTGAGACAGGGGTCTCCCCACCTCTCCAAAGTGAGCTGTGTTCCATAGGTCCCCCACCCAAAGTGATTCCCGTCACAGACTGTAACAACTTAATGGAATGTTATTCCTTTGTATGTTTTAAATTGTGAAAATTCCTATCCATATCTTTTTGCATAGGATTATATTAGTTTTGGAAATGGGAGCACATTTCTACATGCACAAGTCTTTAGGAAGACACTGGCACTTACTTATCGATTAGGATGCTTGGGTTTGCAGTTACAAGATCAGTCTTTGTCCCCACATCATTTGTCCATTTCAATGGAGGTAAATTTAACCTAAAAAGAAAAAAAATGGGAAGAGATGATGATTGGTTTGGGATAAACGTTAAAATTACTCAACTAGAAACCTTATTTCAGTATATCATCAGTATCTTTATTCTTACCTGAACACAAAGTCAGCCCGGTCAATCTCAGTGCCACAAAAGCTGCTGTTTAAAATGCCACCATTACCCACCACCGCACAGCTTCTGATTTCTTTCTGGAAAGGAGACTTCTGCAATGAGAGAGTCATTGTGATAGAATGGAATCCGTGTGCTGGACTGCTTGTCCTCAACATGTACAGCTATCCAAGTAATGGGGAGTACATCTACTCTGTCACCCATTCCTGTCCACATACAGGATGGTCCCCCAGACAAACTGTGGCATGATGGCAACCTACTTAAATAAGCCATCGGGCTGCCAGTACTCAAGCATACCCTGGTAAGCTCCCAGCATTGCCTAACCAGCACCCTCCAAGTAGCCCATCTCCACACCTGTTTTTGGCATTATGGCAATGGACCGCAATAGCAGCCACAGCCAACACCATTTGTTTCCAGAGGACGTCCCCATCTTGAGGTTAGGAGAAGGAAAAACCCAAAGAAGGAAAGCTTTTTAACTGATTACTATAAGCCAATGATTTAAAATGTACATACTTTGGTTATTCCAGTAGTAAAGGCACATTCCTTAAAGTTGAAAACATTACAAAGAACTGTAGTGAGAGAAGTCCATACCTTTTAGAGGGGCTTGCCAGACTACTGCACCACATGCAAAGGGGATGTGAGTGGTGCCAATAATTCTTCATCTTTCCTCCCATTCTACCACCCTAAAGGTAGGTTTTATGAGATACTGTACAGCCTCACAGACTACAGCCTTGCTGTGGCTTGATCCTTCAACCCTTGCCAAAATGACCCAGGCAGACTCCCACCAGATTATTCATAACTGAATCCTACTTCCCATGTTGCCACTTCCTAAGATCACATCTCTCTGCTACTATGAGGAACTGCACCAGGCATTCCTATGCTCCCACACTACAACATGAAATGTGATATACAATTCACTATGCTGTACTACTGTGAAATACCTGGAGCTCCAATACCAAAAGGCACACATAGGTGGCCAAGTGCATAATTTTAGCTTAGGATATACAGTTGGATAAATGGTCTATGTTTACGATGTATCTGTCTATAAACCAAAGGCTCTGGATGGACAGTTGGATAAATGGTTCTATATTTAGGATGTATCCGGTCTATAAACCAGAGGCTCTGGATGGACAGTTGGATACATGGCTCTATATTTAGGATTAGAGATGAGCGAATTTCTCAAAAATTCGATTCGGCTGATTCGGCGAATTCCAGTGTGAAATTCGATTCGATGCGAATTTCTTCGCTACGAAGATGACTTATAAAAAGGGTTTCTAGGCTTCAGAGAGCCTTTAAATTAGTGCAGAACACTGTACCTTTAATTTAAATGCCCTTGGAGATGAGGAAGGAGAAGGAGAAGGAGAAGGATGAGAAGAAGGAGAAGGATGAGAAGAAGGAGAAGGAAGGAGAAGAAGGAGAAGGATGAGAAGAAGGAGAAGGAGAAGGATGAGAAGAAGGAGAAGGATGAGAAGAAGGAGAAGGAGAAGGATGAGAAGAAGGAGAAGGATGAGAAGAAGGAGAAGGATGAGAAGATGGAGAAGGGAAGGATGAGAAGAAGGAGAAGGAGAAGGATGAGAAGAAGGAGAAGGATGAGGAGAAGATGAGAAGAAGGAGAAGGATGAGAAGAAGGAGAAGGAGAAGGATGAGAAGAAGGAGAAGGAGGAAGGATGAGAGAAGAAGGAGAGAAGGAGAAGGATGAGAAGAAGGAGAAGAATGAGAAGATGGAGAAGGAGAAGGATGAGAAGAAGGAGAAGGATGAGGAGAAGGAGAAGGATGAGAAGAAGGAGAAGGATGAGAAGAAGGAGAAGGAGAAGGATGAGAAGAAGGAGAAGGATGAGAAGAAGGAGAAGGATGAGAAGAAGAAGGAGAGGAAGATGAGAAGAAGGAGAAGGATGAGAAGAAGGAGAAGGATGAGAAGAAGGAAGAAGGATGAGAAGAGAAATGGAGAAGGATGAGAAGAAGGAGAAGGATGAGAGAAGAAGGAGAAGGAGAAGGATGAGAAGAAGGAGAAGGAGAAAGGAGAAGGATGAGAAGAAGGAGAAGGATGAGAAGAAGGAGAAGGATGAGAAGAAGGAGAGATGAGAAGAAGGAGATGAGGATGAGAAGAAGGAGAAGGAGAAGGATGAAGAGAAGGAGAAGGAGAAGGAAGAGAAGAAGGAGAAGGATGAGAAGAAGGGAATGAGAAGAAAGAGAAGGAAGGGAGAGGAGAAGAGAAGGATGAGAAGAAGGAGAAGGATGAGAAGAAGGATGAAGAGAAGGAGAAGATGAAGGAGAAGATGAGAAGAAGGATGAGGATGAGAAGAAGGAGAAGGATGAGAAGAAGGAGAAGATGAGAAGTTTCTGTCTAAGGAGAAGGGACATTCACTCCATACAGCGGGAGAGAAAATGTATGAGAGGGAAGGTCATAGATGAGAAGAACTGGAGAAAAAGGATGACTAAGAAGGAGAAGGAATTTGAGAATACAGGAGAAGGAAAGAAATGTATCTATTTGGATCCAGGAAATGGATCCATTTATGGAAACAAATAGATACAATGTTTCAACCGCTGATGGAAGACAGTCCCAGAACTGTCAGAATAGTCTCTGACAGATGAGAAGAAGGATGACATTCCCTCCATACAGCGGTTGAAACCGCTGTATGGAGTGATGTCCCAGAAACTGTCAGAAATAGTCTATTTCTGACAGTTCTGGGACATTCACTCCATACAGCTGTTTCAACCGCTGTATGGAGGGAATGTCATAGAACTGTCAGAAATAGACTATTAATGACAGTTCTGGGACTGTCCTTCCATACAGCGGTTGAAACATTGTATCTATTTGTTTCCAAAAATGGATCCATTTATGGAAACAAATAGATACAATGTTTCAACCGCTGTATGGAAGGACAGTCCCAGAACTGTCATTAATAGTCTATTTCTGACAGTTCTATGACATTCCCTCCATACAGCGGTTGAAACGCTGTATGGAGTGAATGTCCCAGAACTGTCAGAAATAGACTATTTATGACAGTTCTGGGACTGTCCTTCCATACAGCGGTTGAAACATTGTATCTATTTTTTTCCATAATGACATTCTGCAAATACACTTAGAGGAGCGCTGCAGATACACTTTTTTGCCGGCTTGGAATTAATCTTATTTACTTTTCATCCTACTTCTTCTTCTTCATCCTTCATCCTCTTATGGATAAGAAGAAAAAGAAGAAGTAGGATGAAAATAAGATTAATTCCAAGCCGGCAAAAAGTGTATCTGCAGCGCTCCTCTAAGTGTATCTGCAGAATGTCATTTATGGAAAAAAATAGATACAATGTTTCAACCGCTGTATGGAGTGAATGTCCCAGAACTGTCATAAAATCTATTTCTGACAGTTCTGGGACATTCACTCCATACAGCTGTTTTCAACCGCTGTATGGAGGGAATGTGAAGAACTGAACTGTCAGAAATAGACTATTAATGACAGTTCTGGGACTGTCCTTCCATACAGCGGTTGAAACATTGTATCTATTTGTTTCCATAAATGGATCCATTTATGGAAACAAATAGATACAATGTTTCAACCGCTGTATGGAAGGCTCTGCACATACACATTTTGCCGGCTTGGAATTAATCTTATTTTCATCCTACTTCTTCTTCTTTCTTCTTCTTCTTCATCCTCATCCTCTTCTTCTTCTTCTGAGGATGAGGATGAGGATGAAGAAGAAGAAGAAGAAGAAGTAGGATGAAAATAAGAATAATTCCAAGCCGGCAAAAAGTGTATGTGCAGAGTTCCTCTAAGCAGATACACTTAGAGGAGCTCTGCAGATACACAGAATAGAGGCTCTGCACATACACTTTTTGCCGGCTTGGAATTATTCTTATTTTCACCTACTCTTCTTCTTCTTCTTCTTCAGAAGAAGGAGAAAAAATAAGATTAATTCCAAGCCGGCAAAAAGTGTATGTGCAGAGCTCCTCTAAGTGTATCTGCAGAGCTCCTCTAAGTGTATCTGCAGAATAGAGGAACTCTGCACATACACTTTTTGCCGGCTTGCAATTATTCTTATTTTCAGAAGAAGAAGTAGGATGAAAAGAAGAATAATTCCAAGCCGGCAAAAAGTGTATGTGCAAGCTCCTCTATTTCTGACAGTTCTCTCACAGCTTCTTCACATGTACAGGGGTTGAAACATCTGTATCCTAAATGTAAAACTAATAGATACAATGTTTCAACCGCTAAACATGTGTTCCTTCTGTCAGAGAACTGTCAGAAATAGCGGAGCTCACTGCAGGGACACTTTTTGTATCCGATCTATAAACCAGAGGCTCTGGATGGACAGTTGGATAAATGGATCTATAGTTAGGATGTATCCGGTCTATAAACCAGAGGCTCTGGATGGACAGTTGGATAAATGGTTCTTTATATTTAGGATGTATCCGGTCTATAAACCAGAGGCTCTGGATGGACAGTTGGATAAATGGTTCTTTATATTTAGGATGTATCCGGTCTATAAACCAGAGGCTCTGGATGGACAGTTGGATAAATGGTTCTATATTTAGGATGTAGCTAGACTATAAAGCAGAGGCTCTGGGTAGACACTACAGAGTCTTAAAGGAATTAGTGAAGTAGCTTTAATAATTTGTTATTATATGTGGTTGTCTAACAAGGTAATACTGAGAACTCCAGAAGAATTAGACAACCATGGCCTTTGGTCAGCAAATAGCTTAATGTAAGCCTCTTTGTATCCAATAAACTGAAATTATATTTACTTTGTGTCTTTATCTTGTTTGGAACAAACTAAAACAATCATCCCATTTCAAATTGTTCCAGGAAAGTGGCTGTTTGTGAATTACTCAACTTTAGGACTGGCTTCTATGGGGGAAGGGAAGCAAACTAGACTATAGGACCAAACAAGGAGTTTTTATACACTGCTCAGAAAAATTAAAGGGTCGCTTTAAAAACACATCAGATTTCCTGCTGGATATCTATACTGATATGGACTGTGTAATGTGTTAGGAATGTAAGGACGCCCCATCGTTTGATGGAAATGAAAATTATCAACCTACAGAGGACTGAATTCAAAGACACCCCGAAAATCAAAGTGAAAAAATTATGCAGCAGGCTAGTCCATTTTGCTGACATGTCATTGCAGCAACTCAAAATGGTAGATTGTATGTCCCCCAAGTGCTTGT